ATATCATAGGAAAGGGCACCACATTTGCACGAAGTGTGCAGTTCGGATTTAACACTTCAAGTGCAAATATATCATACTTTGACAAACAATTACTTGACTTAAATTGTTGTGCAACATGAGAAAGCTCTGGCCATCGTCTTTCAGCTCGACAGTGGATTTCTACTGGTGTGGGTGTATTAATGTTTCGGTTAACGTAACATGTCTTCAGATTTCACAAATCCTTTTTGCTAATATCTGGCAGTTGAACAGTAAATTTAATGTCACAAAGATGCAAATCAAACATCTATGACAAATAAAAAGTAGGCGTGAACTGTCAATGCATAGGCTATTTTTTATTTACTTCGGTGTGTAATAGTCGAGCCACTCCCCTCAAGTCCTCCACGTGCGTATCTGAGGCCATGATTGTGCATCTGTTGGTTTGGCAGTGTCGTATCGAGTGAGTGGTGGTAATTATTGCTGATGAACAAAGGAGTCCGCTCATACTGAACGTTGATCATAAGGTTTATTCAGATCACAAGCTTCAGCATGAGTGACAGGTGACATGACACCCGGAGAGCAACGCCTCAGAATGGCCGCTCTGCCCTTTCTGTAGTCTAGCCCCTATTTATAAACAATGCAAAAAGATGCTCCCTCTTCTGGCCAATCACCAGTCTCCCCTGTCTACAACACACTTCCTGTCTGTATGTGACATTACACTAAAACATTCCCTCTTGATACTAAAATGAACATTCTTTCAGTTCCACTTAAAAACATTTAACACCATCATAATCTCAATACACTACAGCAGCCAAGCAACTTTTTGCTTGATATTTATTTTGTGTGTATATATGTCAACTTTTCTGGCGGTGGAAGAACTGCTCTGGCGCACTGCATGAAATTATTAATTAAAATGAAGTACTTATTTTGGTGACGCCTACTGTATATTCGGCACCGTTGGTTAAACCACATTTCATGAGCCATGCGGTCAATTAATCAATATTCAGACTAAAGGGTGCCTATAATGGTAATTAGCTGCACTTTGAGAATATATGACAATATAGTCTGAACATGTGGGAAACAGTCTAGAAGAACCTGGATCTTTTAGAATTTTAAGACCATTTTGAGGGAAATTGCACTATACACCACATAAATGCATTTTGGTCAAAGTAATTGAATATTTTTACATTTTAGTCATTTAGCAGACGCTCTTATCCAGAGCGACTTACAGTTAGTGATTACATATTTTTTTTATACTGGCCCCCCGTGGGAATCGAACCCACAACCCTGGCGTTGCAAACGCCATGCTCTATCAACTGAGCTACATCCCTGCCGGCCATTTCCTCCCCTACCCTAGACGACGCTGGGCCAATTGTGCGCCGCCCATGAGTCTCCCGGTCGCGGCCGGCTGCGACAGAGCCTTGATTCGAACCAGGATCTCTAGTGGCACAGTTAGCACTGCGATGCAGTGCTTTAGACCACTGCGCCACTCAGGAGCTCACGAATATTCATGTTGGACATACAAAGTACGGTTTGAAATTTGACAGTCCTCATTTTAACAATGCTTACCTATCTATAAAAGCCATTGAAGTAGATCTAAAGTAATGTTTTATGTTGAGTAAAAATGCTATGCAAATTGCCATTCTAATATGTCATTGCTAGTTTGACCCCTTTTGATGAAATGATTTATTTATATATAAAGGGCTTTGAGTAAGTAATAGCAATTTAATTTGAATTTTTTTCAAAAAGGCTGAGTTCACACAGGCAGCCAAACTCCATTTTTTTTTACTACATCAGATTTTTCTAGAGCTGATCTGATGGGCCAAAAGACCAATTGGTGAAAAATAAAATCAGAATTGGGCTGCCTGTCTAAACACAGCTGAAGTCTGTTAAAGGGATAAGTGTTATTTTGGGCAGCGCATTTATTTAAATCTGAAATAGTTCCATCCACATGTATACGGTAGATCTCATAACAAGGGGACATAATGGACAATGTTTATTGTCAACATTTTGACACGGCCAGATAGAGCCAGCCTGATCAGGCTGTTTCTGAAGAGCCGACAGAAAATAAAACCAACACACCACCATAAGACTTCGTACACAAGGGGGATGTGGTTAAAGCGTTTCTTGTTCCTAACATGGTCCCTTTGTACACTGGCAGCTGTGCAAACCCGGAGGATCCGTACCTTGTGGTCTTCCACCCAGTGGTAGCTGACGCCAGGGTCCACTTCCCCTCTCACGTCAAACGCTTTGAGGTCCAGATGTTCTCCTTCACCAAGGAGGCAGATGACCCGAGTGGACGGGTAACAAAGCTCACACTCTTTTATTGGTTAATGTTGTTTGAGTGGCAATCATCCCTCTTTTTTTATCTGACACGATCAAATCTATTTGATTCCTAGGTCTTTGTCCATTGTGATGTGGCCATCTGTGATGCCAGTAGTCCCTCTGGCGGCCCCTGTAGTGGACAATGTGTGACTCAGGACAACCCGAAAAGAGGTATGGCATGTTTTTAAAAAAATGATTTTCAGACACTGTCAAACCTAGACCCATAACTGAACTAATAGGTTTTCTCTCAACAGGTCAAAGACATGTCAAAGACCTATTTGAGGAGCATAATTTAAATGTTTCTTCTGGATACATTCTGTGGGTGTAGTGTTTTATTCCAACATGTCAACGAAGTAAAATAAAGTGTTCTATATAACAATTCAGTTTGCTTTACTTGCATGTCAAAATAACTCCTGACTTAGCAACAAACTAGAGGCATGTGATCAAATGTTCTCATTGATCATAACCATTGGAGCTACCTTAATTGTATGTTTTATTTGCGTTTAACACCAAGGCTTGTCATCTGACGTGTATCAATCAACCCTTTTGTAAGCATGGAACTGTAAACTCAGAACCATCCACCTGAGTTAAGTAATCAGATGTAAGTGTTGCGCACCAATTTCCCGTCTAGGACAAAGTCACTACTACCAGAGAAACAATTGGTATCAAAACAAAAGCTTTACAATGTCCTGTAGGAAGAACTGACTCAATGTTATAGCAGATGGTTTGCCGAAGTGAGGCCAGCAGGGCAGTGATACTGAGCTGCAGGTCCATGGACAGGGCTGTGGTTGGATGCAGGCCCCAGGGAGTGCAGCAGTGTTGGTCATTGTCAACTGAAATTAAAACTTTCCTTGATACTTCCCACTAGCTTGGTTTCCATCCAATTGATGTTTTCATGAGTATTAAAAAAAAGCTAAGAACATATGTGCATTTCCCACCAGTGGTGTTGGCACCAAACTGACTAGTGGATAAAATCACTGCATGATGACTTGGTGCACACAATGTATTTTTTCACTTAGTTTATTCGGTACATGAGAACTTAAAGTTCAATGTGTTCAACTACCAATAGTTCTGTCAACTGTTGCGTTTAAATAGCAAATGTGCCTATGGTCTTGGCACCTGTGCTCTAGCAAACAGCTGGCAGATGCTGTGCAGGTTGTCTAGTCTACATGAGATTATGGGTAAGAGTGAGAATATTTGTTCTTTCCACACCGATCATCATATTAATACCCTCGATAATTTATTGGAAAGCAGCATCAAGCGCATCAGTGCACATCCACCACCCTGTGAAGTTCCTAAATTAATCTGTAGCCTAATAAACTGCATTGCTTCCCGAGTCACTACACACCATATCATGTTACTTTAATGTGGTGGTTATATCAATATTTGCTCGTAAAGGCGTTTCCACCACAATTTCTTGCTTAATTAATTTAACCGACAAAAGGGTCTCACATGTCGAACGATAATTGTCTGCATTTAAAAAATTTTACCAAATTATACAATGGATAAATGTGGTTACTGAGAAATTTGGAATTTTGGTTTACTTCCTGAATTGAAATGGAATTGATGTAATTAGTCCTGTGCCATTTATTTTATACTAAGAATATAATTGAATTTAGCTGAATAAAAAAGATGCGCACTTTCTCTGAAATTGGACCTAAGTGAATTTTAAACAGATCCTATACGCTAGATTTAGTTATTTGGCAACTTTTAGTTGAATTATAAATCTTAAATCAACATATGGGCTGCATGATGTGACTATAGGTTATTGGTTTGAGTCACAAAAAAAATATTGCGTCAAAGGACTTGTGTGTGTGCGCTTTGCTGTTATTTGCTGTGGGATGAAAGTCCGTTCTAAATTTCTACCTTTGTTTGCGTTGGGAACAACGCAAACAGGGGGGAGAGTATATAGGAATTATTGACACTGGACACACATTTTGGCTTGAAAAAAGTGTGAGAGAGTGTCCAGGAAAAGCATGAAGGAATAAGGCCAGGAAATAAGGTAAAGTATACTTTTAGGACGTCGCTGATTTAAGGAAGCCCTCAAACGAGGCGATCATTAAGATGGGCCATAAATCCTAGGAGAGTCACTAGGTTGACTTTCGGGTCAGTTCTGGGAACTGTGAGTTTGTGGAAGATACATTCAATTGCACGTTACCTCTCGGAATATAGTTGACGAAGTATATGTTCGAAGTAACCTCTCATTGAATATCTGCAACTCGAGGTAGCACAAATTTAGGAAGGAACAATGAGAAATAAGGAGCGACGGTAGCATGCTTAGTGTATTGTATGAACGGATGCATTCCTCTTGAATTGTGTGTGTGTGTGTGGGAGAGAGAAAAATAATAAAATAAAGACGTCTCTGTTGTGTTTAAACTGTGTGTCGACTCATGTTAGGATAAAATCTATGTTAGAGATTTATACACATATATATATATATTTTGGTTGAGAACAGGGATTTTTGTAAGAAGTTAAGCCCCTAGAATAAAGTTAAGCCCCTAGAATGAAGTTAAGGTTAAAAATCTTATGAGTCTCTGTTTGTGAGAACGTTAATAATTGTTAACTATATAAACTATGAGCCCCCTGGAAGGACAATAAGTTTAAAAATCTTATGAGTCTCTAGAAAAAGAGAACGTTTACTTACTAATCATGAGCCTACAGGGAGGACTTTTTAAGAGTGCATAGAGATGTTTTGTAATTGATAACAACATAACTATAGGTTAAGTGAAAGATAACAAGCTTGGAAGTGGGATTTGTGTTCTGTGTGTTTCGTGTTCGTTTGTGAGTTCTGTAGAGTCTTGTTGTTTGTCTATGGGAGGAGAGAGCGGAGCGACAGCGGGTCTGTCTACTCTGTAGTTCCTTTCACTCTGAAATCGCATGAGTGACTGAACTGCGCACGCGTAGGATTTTATGAGTTTAGAACAACAGATATGCCACTCCCCTGCACTGAACTGTTGGGAGAGGCAGTTTCAGAGCAGACAAAAAGAAAAGGGAGGGGGAATCTTGCACACAAGTGAAATGTTCTGTTGAATTAACTGTTGCTTGACTGTAAAACTGTTTGGTTGATAATCGGTTGAGTTGGTGAATGAGAGATATATTGACGGATTAAAAATAATAATAATAAAATAAATGAATAAAATAAAATGTTATTGAGCTATTTATAATATTCCTGAGCTTAGCTGTTTGCTTATTTCTTAGCGTGAATGTGAAAAAAAATAAAATATATATATATATAAATAATAATAAACTAAATTCTTGTTTGTTCTTTTGTCTTTCTGTCACATGAGAGACGAGAGAGAGAGAGAGAGAGAGAGAGAGAGAGGAGGTGCTGACCAGTACATCAGTGACAACAACCCAGTCCAATCAAGGCCAGTACTGTTCTTATCCACAAAACCTACTTTCCCTTACAGGATATAATACATACATTGTGTATACATAGGATATTTCATGTTGTGACCATTTCACAGGAACTTGGCAACAGACTGATGAATTGATGTAATTGATAATTGCACATTATAGAGTTTTTGTGAATGACTTGTTTTAATTAGAGTTGTGTTGGAAATCCAGCATTGACATTATTCTGTAAAATTAAGGTAATTGGGTGCTTATTAAGCAATTGGTCTGTGAGTGCTGTAGTGTTGCAGGATTAGAGGTCTTTTATTTTTGATTGCTCTGAAGTTGACTACTTTCCTTTACTTTTCCTGATCGGATGTGGTAAGACTGCCACTAATCAATAATTTGGTAAAATAAAATTCATAAAATAAATTGATATATTGATTAATTAATTGATTAATTATTTTTAATTAAAAATAAAAATAAAAAAAATAAAATAAAAAATAAAAAAGAGGGAAACACATAACAGAGTCGTTACAATGGGGAAAAAGGACATCAAAACTACAAAAGCAATTACTCCTCTTGATGTAGTACAGAATAGTAATCCTCTAGTTAATGGTATAGCAAGATTATCCGAAAAATGGAATAAACGTTGGCCTGACATTGAACAACCATGGCCAGTGGAAGGGACTCTTAACCCAGACGTCATCAAGATAATGCAAGTGCTTGTATCCACGTATAAGGCAGATCAAAAGAAGGGGAAGAAAGGAAAACTACGCAAAGAAAAAAGACAAAGAGAGCTGGGTGTTCTTAAGCTGTTTGAAAATGAAGGACAAAAACTGATAAAAGATACAAAAGATAAGAGAGACAGAGGTACAGAGAAAATGGCAAAAGAGGTGAAGGTGACAGAAAAAGTAATTGCAGAAGTCAATACATCTTTCTCACATATGGATTCAGCAAAAACACCCCCACCTTATGAGAAAGAAGCCAAGTTTAAGGACGTTTATCCTCAGCTTCCGGTGATCATCCAGGAGGGTGATTGTTGCATCAGAGATGAAGATGAATAATAGAGGACAAGCAGAAATGACAATAAAGATTAATCCAAAACTCCAGAAGGAAGAAAATGAGATGTCTCGAAGAGAAGAGTGAGGTTAAAGAAGATGAGGATGATGAAGATGAGAGTGATTGAGAAGAGGTCATGGGTGGATATGACTCTGTGATCAGAAGGAAGTTGGCAAGAGAGGAAAGAAGAAGGATACTAGAGATTTGATCTCTGATGGAAGTTGAAGGAAGAAGGATACAAGAGATTCGAGTTCAGATGAAGACAGCGAGAAAGAGGAGACTGAAGGTGCTGTGTATTCAAAAGGAGTTTGTCCTACAAGGACTGGCACAGAAGAAATAGAAGGAGATATAGACCGATGCTTATCATGCCTGGATAAAGCAAATAGTTTAGAAGAAGTAACACAGCTGAAGATACAGAAGAGGAGAAACTGCTGAGAACATTTTTAATCCCAAGAATTGGAGGAGAAGAAGAATACATTGAGGCCAAGATGCTGAAGAAAAGTAAGAAGATGATGGAAGATGATATTTCGAGGACAGTACTTAGAATATAAGCTGTTGAAGAATCCTGATATGTCAACAGCAAGAAAGAACAGATCAAGAAACTCTCAGAAAACTCAATCATACAACTGGTGGAGAAACAAGCTCTGGTTATGCAGAATCAGTGTAGACCAAATCAACAATCACTGCCACAGCTTCAAACGAACCAGTTCCAACCACAATTGTACAGACACCAAATAGCCAGGTTACCAGTTGTTTCATATCCACAGCCAGTTTCTGGGACGAGACAGAATTGGAGAGGAAGAGGACGAGAAGTTTAGGAAGAGAAGAGGAGGAAGATTCAAGCCACACTTCCAGCAATCTTCAGAAGTGTTTGATAATTGTGGACAGGTTGGTCATTTTGCCGGTGCGTGTAATGGGGCCAGAAGGAAACCA